CCTAGAGATCTACTCCTAAACATTGCATGGATGCGAATCAATAAATTCCATTGTTTCTTTAAGCTGGTTGAGTCAGGTTTTGTCACTTGCAAAGGAGAAAGTCCTAAGTGACAGACTCATCTCTACAGACACATCTCAACAACCTCCCTCCTCAAGGAAGCCTGCCACGAACTCCCCAGAGGCTTCCCCCCACTACAGCGCTCTCCTCACTCACCTCTGCTTTTATCCTCTCCTCTTGTGATACTCCGACGAGATCTGAAGCACTTTTTAAAAAACTTTTCTCCCATGCCAGTCACCTAGTATGTACCAAAACCAACCAAACCAAAAAATACCTTTTAAATCAAAACGCAATGTTGTAAAGAGGTGGCTGAAAGAAAGGAAATTCATGACCCCGCCTTGGGCACTAGAGTGTCAGGAACTTTCTGATGGGCTGTCTTAGTAATTCCGAGAGCTTAAGAGGCAGCAGTTAAGTTAGGGGACCTGGGTGCAAACAGTGGAATCTGTGCTATCCTGAAACTGGAGAGGGAATTTTCTAGAACAGTGGTTCTTGAGCTTGAGCCAGCATGGGAATCCCCTGGAGCCTGTTAAACACAGATAGCTGGGCCCCACCCCCACCATTTCTGATCCTGAGGTCTAAGGTGGGTCCAAGAATTTGTATTTCTAACAAGTTCCCAGGATTACCAACAAGTTTCTAAGTGCAGGTCCTGGGACCACACTTTGAGAACCCCTCCCTGGACTAAATGCTGTTAAGATTACAGAACCAGGAAGGGAAACCGAGAGTCAGGCGTGGAGGCTGCACAGCAAGAAATGACCCCAAAGCACATTATGGGCCAGGTCCAGGGAAGATGATCCCCTTAAGGTTGTCACCGCTGACCCCAGGTGCTGGGCACCTCACTCCACCATCCATCGCTCTTGCTAGAAAATGGATTCAGTATTTCCCACCCCATGTCTGCAACCCAAGGCTCCTGGATGTTGTCACTTCTAATTGGCAGAGCCTGAGTCTCCCGCCTGCTTCCCAGCTCCAGAAGAGACTAGAAAAAGGAGGTGAGAATCATAATGTGGGAATTTTTCCAAATGTACGAAGGGGCTCCAAAAAATGTCAGGCAGCCACACACCACGGGAGTCATCGATTCAGTCTGCATCTTTAACGTGGGACGGGAAAAATTGTTTGTGGTGGGGAAAATTGTTCCTTACAGCTCCTCACTGCCATCGAAAGAGGCAGATCTTAAGGAAGGTCCCTTGTCAACTTAGGAGGAGATAGGAATAATGGCTAACATCTATTTGGTGTTTATCCTGTGCCAGGCGCTGTCGTTAAATGCTTTATACATATTAACTCATTTAGTCCTCGCCACCGCTCTTTCCAGTAGGCATTGTTATCATCAATCCATTTTACAGAGAAAGAAATTGCAGCAGGTGGAGGGGAGGCCTCTTACTTGAGGCCACCCTGCTAATCGGAAGCAGAGCTGAAATGTGAACCCAGCTTGCCTGGCTCTGGAGCTTTCGTTCTTAGAAATGATGTTCAACTCCTTCCTGGGGTAAGAAAGCTGAAAGATTCCAAGAAGTGAGAGACCTAAATTGTTTTGCATAAGAGAAGGAACAGCAAGGAGATAAAAAATGTCAGGGGGGGGGGGCTTGGGGGAGACATGACTAGAGTGGCTGCCTGGTGAAAGGGTGGCGAGAGAGAGTCAGAGAATCAAGAGGGCTAATGGGACTTCCGTTCGATTTTCCCGCATTCTGAGCAATGTGACCCTTTCATCACCCCGTGAAACCTTCAGTAAAATCTCATTACTCACTAAGGACGAGCGGAGCTGTTTTTGCACATAGAAGAATGCATCAGACCCCTGGGAGTTCCTTCCAGGTGAGCACAAGGATGAGAACAACAGCTATTTCAGGGAGCTCAGTCACACTTGGGAGATACAAAGCTCAGAGAGGGGAGGACATTTGTCTAAGATCACCCAGCAAGTAGATAGCAGAGTGTGGATTTGAACTGAGGGTGGCCTCCTGCCAAAGCCCAGATTCTTTCTGCTAGAAAGCCTCAATGGTTTATTTAAAGTCTTCCACGTGCTCTGGAGAAACTTCCCTGTCCCACAGGCAGGGGCTTTAAGAATTTCTGGATGTGCCTGAAGGAGGGTGGGCAGGGGGGCTCTTCCAAGAGTCTGTCACAAGTTAAGACCCCAGAGGGACCCGTCCCCATGGCTTGGGGGAGCTGACCACTCGCGCCCTGAGCCCAGACAGCTTCCTCCAGGCCCGAGTGGCCAGGCTGATAACAGCCAGGTCATCAGTGGCTGTGACAGCAATGCGTAACGGGAGGCCCGATGCAGTGCTGACCCCAGGCCAGCAGGCCTCTCATGGCACAGACACACAGAAAACCCAACAGAAAACCTGAGAGGTCCAGAAGCTCGGGGGTCTTCTCTGGGCCTCACCTGCCCGTTCTCTGTTCTCTCGAGGTGTCTGCCTGTCTCTTTCTCTTTGTCCCTCTTTTTTTCTGGCACTCTCACTATCTCGTCTCTGCGTGCCCAGCTTGCTTTCCCTCCCGTTTCCCTGTCTCTTCTCCTGCCTCTTCCTCTGTGCATCGGAGCCTCTGTTCCTCTGTTGCCTGCTGTTACTCTGGTTCTCTCCTCTTTGTCTCTCTGTTCCAGCTCCCTCTGCCTCCCTTCTCCTTCACCCTGTCCTTTCTCTTCCCCCGTCCCCCTTCTCCTCTCTCCTGCTTGTGCTCCCCGCCCTTGGCCTGCCCTCTGGCCCCTGGAACTCAGGCACAGAGACCCAGCTGGCCTCTCTGAGAGAGGAGGCTCCCCAGGGGCCCAGCAGGAAGCGCAGTTTCCCCTCTGACCCTGTCAGCTGGCCGTGGGGGATGTGGCTTCCCTCCCACGCTGTCCACTCAGGCCGGCTGTGCAGCCTCTCTGGGGCTCAGGATAAACCGTCTCACTTTGGAGGGGCTCTAAGGACAGCCTTAATTTACCAGAAGGGTGGAGAGTAGGGGTTGGGCTGCGGCCGGGTGAGCAGGGGAGGGGAACCCCATGTTCACCGAGCATCTTCTGGGTGTTGGCACGACACCAGGTCCTGGGCGGGGGGGGGGGGGGGCGGGGGGCGGGACTAGGGGAAAGTGTCAAAGGCCACAGTCCCTTTCCTGGAAGACAGAAGGACACACAAGAGCAAGGAGCTTGGCGGGGGGGGGGGGTGCGGGGAGCATGCAAGAACTGAAGCTTGGAGGGAAAGAGAGGTCTCTGCAGAGGTGGGGCTTCCGGACCAGCCTGGGAGGATGAGAACCACCCCCATGAATTCGCACAACCCTTAAGATACTTTTACATCCACTGGACGACCCTTAGGAGAGGCGGTGTGGCGGGTTAGAAAGTGTCCAGGGGTCAGAGTCAGAGGGCTGGGTTCTCATTCCAGCTCCATCTTGTTGTGTGCGTGACCTTGGACATGTCACATGACCTCTCCCAGCCTGTTTCTTTGCATATGAGGTAGGTGTAAAAGACCTGCTCATTGTAGTGTTACAGAGGGGATGGGGGTGCTAAGGGAGCTGGAGAGAGGAACCCAACGTTTACCGATCTGTTGCCGCTGTAACAAATGACCGTGAACTTGTCTTAAAACCACACACATTTACTATCTTACAGTTCTGGAGTTCAGAAGTCCAGCACGAGCTGGACGAGTGTTTCACTGGGCTAAAGTCAAAGCGTCAACAGGCCTGGGTCCCTTCTGGAGGCTCTGGGGAAAATCCATTTCTTTGTCCTTTTCCAGCTTCTAGAGGCTGCCCACATTCGTTGGCTCGTGGCCCCTTCCTCCATCCTCAAAGCTGGTGGCTTTGCACCTCTCTGACGGCTCTTCCACAGTCACACTTCCTCTGATTTTTCTTGTGCCTCCCTCTTCCCTATTTCAGGACCCTTGGGATTACGTTGGGCCCACCCAGGTAATCCGGGATAATCTCCCTATTTTTTGAGATATAATTGATATACAACATACAATTATATAAGATGTAATTGATATACAACATTGTATTAGTTTCGAGTGTATAACATAATGATTTGAGAGATGTATACATTGCAAAATGATGGCCACAATATGTCTAGGTAACACCCATCACGTCACATAGTTATACAATTCTTTTCTTGTGATGAGAGCTTTTTAGATCTACCGTCTTAGCAACTTTCAAATATACAATCCAGTCTTGTTAATGACAGTCACCACATTGTACTGCTCTCCCTACTTTAAGGTCAACCAATCAGCAACCTTATTTCCCCCTGCAGCTTTATTTCCTCTTTGCCACGTAACCTGACTGTTCACAGGTTCCAGGGATTAACGTGGCCATCTCTGGGGGGCCATTTTCCTGTCTGGCACATCCAGTGAAGGGAGAAGATTTTACAAGTCCCATCCCATTTTGGTCTCCTCAACAACCCTGGGGGGTTAGTGGTGTTAACCCCATTTTAAAGGTGAGATTGAGGTCAGGATCACACTGACATCCAATAGTGGAGCTGAAATCCGAATCCAGGTCTATCTGACCCCACGGCCCACCTCTTCCCACCTCATCACAATCCTTTGAGACCCCCAAGAGGCTGCAGAGAGTGAGAAGTTATTCCATTCATTGATCACATTTGCGGAGCCCTCCCCACATGCCAAGCCAAATGCTGAGCACTCTGGAGGGATTCTCGGAGGATTAAGATGTGGGTTCCTCCTCCCGAGGAATTTATCATCTGTTGGGGGGGATGGGGGAGACGACATACCCCAATGCAGAGAGGAGCACAGCGGGGAGACGGGGTGAGGGGGACGAGAGCAATGGTCTCCTCGTAGCTGATGAGGACCCGGAAAGGGCTGGTTTTAGGCTCAAAATGCAGCTCCTCTGCTCCCTGGGTGGCGGTCGGAGCAAAGTGAGCCTCTGCTTTCTCATCTGTGAAATGGGAATAATGATATTAACCATTTCACACCTAGAATTGCTGCGAGGAACAAGTTAGAAGATGTTTGTAAGCACGAGCAGGTGCCTGGCACGGTCAGAACTCAATAAAAACAGCTGTTGTCATTATTTTTATTGTCAGGATGCGGGTATAAGACAGCAAGATGGATGGCGCCGGATGCTTGCGAATGTATTCTTTCGAGAGGGAGGTAAAGAGCACTGAACAGGGACCCAAAGACCAAGGTTGGCGTCCTCGGTTGCTCCCGTGACGGAGGAATCTGGAGAAGGGGCTTCTGCACTCAGTGCCTTGGTTCCTTCGGCTTTGAAGGGGATGATAAAGACTGCGGCTTCTGGGTTTGTGCGAGGCTCAAATCAGATTAGGTAGACAGGGCCTTTGCAGGTCGTAAAGAGCCATTCAGCTGTAAGAGCTCATCTTCATCACTGCCAGGAGCAGAATGCGGACGGCGGTGACCAGTGTTGCCCAGGATGAATCACTGCCATATTGACCCAGTGACGGTCCAGGTGCCCGGGGCTATTGCTACCTGAGGCTCAGGGAGGTCAGGTGACATGGACAGTTGCAGAGCGGGGTTCTGGGACCAGGACCCCCTGCCCCCTGGCCAGGATGTCTGCTGCTCCTCCGCCTGCCCCAGCCCACTTCAGGGTCAGCCGAGCAATCCACTCTCCCTCTCGGAGCAGGCCCGAGCCCCCGAGCCCCAGCCTGCCACGGGTCATCCCACAACCTCCCCACCAGCGGGCCTTCGGAGGTCAGCACATCCTGTGCTTCTCACTGTATCTATCAGCAGTCAACTGCTTCTCCAAAGAACACCTGACCTGGAAGCTCAGTAGTCGGGACATGTGAAACTGGAAACTCCTCACCGTGGCCTTCGAGGCCCTCATGTTGTCCTGGGCCCCACCCCTTGCCCACCACCTGCAGCCCCTCAGCCTTGGGAGGTGGCGCTTGTTCTCCTCAGCATCCACGGTCACTCCCCCTTCCAGGCCTCTACTTTTCCTCCCTCCCCAAAGGCCGTGTGCCTCCTACTGAAAAGGAGGGACTCTGAAGTCTCAATACCAGCCCCTGCACTTATTTGCTGTGCGCCCTTGGACCAGTTACTTACCCTCTCTGGGCTTCAGCCCTCTCATCTCTGATATGGGTATGTGATGATAGCACAATTGCAGGGTTGTATGAGGAGTGACTACGAGTCCGCCTAGCTGGCCTACAGCAGGGTCTGGCCCCCAGGACACACTCTCCAAGCTATTTACTTCACCCATGCCAAGGGCCGCACACACGTGCGGCCCGTCACAGAGGCCTTCTCTGAGACCCCACCTCTCACTCCCCTGTCTTGCCCTCATTCACCTACTCAGTAACCTTGAATGGAGAGCCTCCTCAGTGCCAGGCTGGGCTGGGCATCATGCAGAGACTCACAGGAACCAGGCGGGGCCCTCCTCCAGGCAGCTCTGAGGACAGAAGCCCAGCCTCTGGGCAGGAAGCTCCAGGAACTTGCTCCCTGACACTCTAGGGGCCTCCTTTCCCAGGGCCTGAAGGGGTCAGGCCTCAGCCCCCAGCTCCCAGGTGGCCCTGTGCAGACTTGAGGGGCGGACTGACAGCACACCCGGTGGGCACTGACGGCCGAAGGAACAGGGGAGCCTGGAGGGGAGTCTGGGTTCAGACTTAACTTTGCTCTTCTGGGGTTGCCCCTGTGCTGAGCAAGAAGCACGGCCGCTGGCCTCCTCACTCAGGAATGCAGAGCATTTCTTACCACCACGAAGGACAGGACGGGGCCAGGCCTACCCTCCCAAGCCCCAGAAGCATCCAAATTGTTTGCTAAAACCACAGCCCAGGAGAGGTCTGAGGGGAAACGTGAGGTCTGGGGCATGGGGGCGGAGACCCTGGCTGTGATTACCCTGGGGGGGAGGAGGAGCCTGCCCTTAGAAAGGGAAGTTCTCCTCGGGTGGATGGATGGTGGGGTGGCAGGAACAGAACTCTCCCTCCCACACCACAGTGCTGGCTCCCAGACCCCAAGGGGTGTGGGCGAGGGATGGGGGCCGGCTCGTCCTCCCCCTCTAGGCTCCTCACGGCCCAGCCCAGGCCCCTTCTCATCCCAGCTGCCTACTCCCTTGCCTCCGCTACGCCACCCTTTTCTCTCTTCCCAGATCTTCTTTGTCAAACGCCTCATTGGAGGGCCCCTATTGGCCGGCCCTGGTCTCAGGTATTTTGTTCAGTAACTATTACGTGCCAGGTGCTGCTCTTACTAGGCACCCTGCAGAGGGGAAAAGGATGCCCACAGGGCGAGAGCTACTCCTTATCTTCCGCTGTGTCCCCAGGGCCCAGCCCAGCCGCACAGCCAGTCAGATGGGCAGGATTTGACATAGCTTGGCCTGGCTTTTCCAGCACCTCGAGACCCTCTGTCTCCCCCAGAGACCTCCCTGCATCCAGCGCTCTAGGCTATCCCCCACCCCTCCCCCTGGGCCATCCCCCAGCTCCGCTGCCTCCCATCCCCCACACCTGTGTTTGCTCAGCTGCAGCTGGGCCAGCACTCCAGCTCTGCTCTGCCCCGCCCACGGCCAAGGTCAGTGGACCAGCCTCCCTGGGCACCTGGGCCCAACACAGACCCCAGCTGAGGGGCACAGACCTTCTAGCTATTCCTGGGCTGGCTCTCCTCTGCCCACCACAACCCCATTCTGAGTGGTCTCCCAAATACAGGCCCCAGAGGCCAATTTCCCTTGGCTCCTGTATCATTCAGGGTTCACCCAGAGAAACAGAACCAGTAGGATACGTATATTTTGAATGATTGACTGATTGTAAGGAAATGGCTTATGCCACAGTGGGAGCTGGCTAGGCCAGCCTGAGATCTGTGAGGCAGGCCACTGGGAAGGGCGCCTGGGTGGACCTCTCAAGCACAGGCTGCAGCTGCTGTCCACAGGCGGAATTTCTTCCATTTCCAGAGCCTTGATCACACCTGCAAACTTCCTTTTGCCATTTAAAGTGACGTATTCACAGATTTCAGAGATAGGGAGGCCAATACCTTTGGGCGGCCTTTCCGCCGACCGTGGGCCTGGAGGGGCCACCATCTTTCCACATTCATTCATCCTCTCACTTTCCCAAGCATGATCCATCTAGGGGTTAGGCCTGTCCTGAGGGCTGGGGCACAACCGAGGCAGCCTCAGAAACAGGTGATGGTGATACAGAGACAAGCGACATAATGGAGGCGAGGTTCAAAGGACTTGGGTGACGTGGTGGGACGTGAGATATGAGAAGCGAGGAAGGGAAGACAGGAGGAGAGCGTCTTGTGGGGCCTCTACTCCTGGGGACCCTTCGCCCGGGGTCTGCGGGGACCGCTGCCGTGTTAGGGGGTGAGGGAAGCCAGGGCAGAAATGGTACCCTCTGCAGTCAGACTACTCCGACCCTTTATGGCAGGAGGGGAGGGAATTGTGTGCTATTAAAACAAACACAGATCTCCTAGGGAGTGGGAGGCAAGATTCCCAAGGTTTCTTAAGAAAACCAGGATGACCTGAAGGAGCTGTTGAGCGGGCCTCCGCTTCAGTTCCTGGACCCGCCCCCCCGCCTCTGTCCAGTCCTACCCGCTCCGGGTCCCACCAGCTCCTCTCACAGTTAGGGGTTGGGGTGGCTTGAGAAGCGCTGGTGGGGCCGAGAGTTTGGTCTGGAATAGAAAGACTGGGGTGCCTCTGCTCAGTCATCCATCCTGCAGACCTGGGAGGAGAGAGGCCCAGCCAGGCTGGCCCTGCCCAGGGGCACTCCCGAGGGTGGGGCGCTGCCGAGGGCCGAGTGGGTGGGGCCTATAAAGGCCTCCCCTGCCACCTGCCTTCTCGAAGGCCCCCCGTCTTGCTTTCTCGAGCTTCCTTCAGCTGCTAAAGTGCTGGGGACTCAAGAGAGGACCCGGGCGGCCTGTAAAAGCAGACCCTGGGTTGGAATCCAGGCTCCGACTGCTTACAGCTGAGTGAACGAGGGCGTCTCCTTTGCTCCTCTGTCATGATGGGGTGTCTCCCCCTCCTCCCTGGCTGACGGCCAGCGGCTCAGGAGAAATCCTGCCCGCAGTTACAAAGCCCCAGTTACTCAACCTCCTGCTGCCGTTAACCACTTCCGCAGCCCTTCGAGAAAAATCTCCAGGAAAGCAGCGACTGCCTGCCTGTTTACCACAGTGTACCCAGTGTCCCCCACAGGACCTGGCACGTGGTGGGAGCACAATAAATACTCCCTTTCCTTCCTTCCTTCCAATAACACACATTAACTAGTCTACAGGGTGGCAGGCAGGTCCTGGGCTGAAACGTAGGCCTTTCACTTTACAGCTGAAGAAAGGCAGAGTCAGAGAGGTGAAGTGACTTGCCCAAGATCACACAGCAGGTAACTGAGCCAATATTTGGACATAGTTCTTCTCCCTGACATTTTCCACTTGGCCCTGTGGGGGATCAGAATTGGCCACCCCAAAATGTGTCTCTTTGGTTAAGGACAAGAAACTCTGAAAGAAACTTTGAAACTGCCCCCCCCCCCCCACCACCCCCGCCCAAGGCCTTTGCTTTCTTAGACTATTTTTGGGAGTGAACTTTCTGGATCTTGTGAGGGCTGCTTCTTCTGTACTCTCTTTTGGGGATGTCTCTTGTGTCCATGGTTAAGCTGTAAAAGGCTTATTAGTTTGAATCGCTATTAAGATCCGACTCATCAGTGTGGCCAGATGATGGATCATTTAAGTTGGAAAAACCTCTAAATTGGAAGAAAATTTTTTTTCTCTCCTCCTTCTCCCCAAAGCCCCCCAGTACATAGTTGTATATCCTAGTTGTGAGTGACTCTGGTTGTGCTGTGTGGGACACTGCCTCAGCATGGCCCGATGAGCGGCGCCATGCCCGCGCCCAGGATCTGAACTGACAAAACCCCGGGCCACAGAAGGGGAGTGCACGAACCCAACCACTTGGCCTTGGGGCTTGCCCCCCAAAAAAGATTTTTGAGAGCTCTCTTCATAATTGTTTTATTGGTACCTATGAAAAGACCAAATTAAAAAGAAAATACAAAAAAATAATGACTAGCCTTAAGACCCTGCCTCAGGCTGCAATTAAATTGAGAAAATGTAAAAGTTTTGATACGATTATAAAGGTTAAAATATTTGAGCTAATTTTATATAAAGAGGTTGTATCAACTTTGCCTGAGTCTGTCTTCAAATGGCTGACTGGGAATGCTTCTCCTATCCAATATTATAAGACCAAGGCCTATTGATAAAATCCTAAAGGAAACTATGATTAGAGGTAGAAGAGCTGATGGAATTCAGGTGAAATTTTGTGGAAAAACTGATATATTTATGGGCTTTATGTGAAGTGATGGCATCTCTTTTTGCCTGATTATATTATATTGTGTCGTGGGGACAGACGTTGCGTCTCACTGTGTCCCCAGCCTGATTGTAAGACAGCGTATAAATCTGTGCTTCAGACAGTGTTAATTAAACATACTGAAGGGAAGTCAATAGAGTTTCCTGAGCCCCCACACCATATTAGACAAAAACTAGAGGCTAATATCCGGTTCCAAAAAATAAAAAAGGTAGTAAAATTATGCACACCCCCCCCCACCAAGGTAAATTGGTCTAGGGTTAAATTGTACACTTACAAAGAGGACCTTTGTTAAATGCTTTGTGCAGACTTTTAAAGGCGTGGTACATTGTCCTAAAGTGTTAAAACAACAGGTGTAGAGTCTTTGTGTATGTGTGTCTATATGTATGTGATATATGTGGGACTTTTTACCTCTGGATGACATGACCAAAATTAAGAGCTCTACTTCACTGTCTTAAAGTAAGCTCTTACATAAACTATTTCTAAATGTAAAAGAAATTAACCCAAATGTCTTTCAAGTTAACATGATATGAAATAATCTTTAGTAAATGAAAGCTTGTTTAAGTTTGTTGGTTTGATTAAAATAGACATGTCCTCAAGATTACCAATACTGGATATGATGCAGACATACAGCCCAGGTTTACTAGTCAAATGAGCTCACGTGATCTCTGTCAGCAAAACTAATAACTTAAAATGATAGCTAATTTTGTATAATGTCTCATGAAGTTTTCGTGGGTAAGCTAAACATAATTGTTGGGAGCAAGTGATTTAAATATAAGTGAGATAAGAGTTGATAGATAAACTTTTAGGAATAATTATAGTTTATGACATGTGTGCTTAAAATAGCTTCCAAAATCTCTTGGGTAACTTGAAACCCTGAAGTTTTGCTAGGATAAATTAAATGATAAAAATTCACTAAGTATCTAGATCATTTCCAAATAAGATAAAATACTAAAACATTAATTGCTAAACCTGTCTAAGTTTACCTACTTTTGTCTTATTACAGAGAACCAAAAATTGTTTGGGTCCATTCATAAATACATGTCTTGTATTTTATTAAAAGATTGTACAATAAAGTAGCATGTTTCTAGAAATTATGAAAAGTGTTTATAAACTTACTGAGCCACAGAATGCTAATGTAAAAGGTAGTTTATGATTGCTTGCTTCTTAGTTTTCACTAAAATTAAAGTCCATAAGGGTTAAGAATTCTAATTAATATATGCAATATATTTGTATTCAAGGAAAGTAAGATGTAAAATGTATGTTTTCAGTAAAAAAATTTTTTTTGTTAAGAAAGATAAATTTGTCCTAAAGTGCTAGAAGGAAAAAAAGAAGGCATGGGACAAATCTGAATGTAAAAAGAAAGTTATAGAAGGTTTGTAAAGAGAAATTCTGAAAAAAAAAAGAGTTTTGTACATAGTCAAGTTGGCTAAGATTGAAATGAATTTAATTAAGTAAGTTTTAATATCAAAATTAAGCTAGTGCAAAATTAGAATTTGTTTTTTCCCCTCTTTTAAAAGGATAATTTTCTTAAACTTTTAATCTGTTCTTGGTAAAGAAATTATATGTTTTATCAAAATAAATTTCCTGTGTTGTTTTTATCAGGTCTTTAATCACAGGTACTAAGGTTTTTCTTATAGCTATTTAATTCTCTGCATTCATCTGAAAATCTTTAATTGTCACCATGGTTAAATGGATAACTAAACATTGTTTCATAGGGATCTGTGATATTATGTTGGTAAATATTATTGATATAATAAGTGTTTTTTAAAAAGTATATAACATTCCTAAAGTTCCTGATCTGTCCTGACTGTCGGTCATAATTCTAGTTATTATCTTGAAATGTTGTATGTCACAGAAATAACCAAGTTTTTTTGTCAATTGCCATTTTTAGATCTTTTGTCAATTATAGACAGTTATTGTTGTACTCTGCTTTTGAAAATATGTTTCATCTTTAGAGAGTTTCATGGAAAGGACCCTGACACTTCCTGTGGAATACGGGTTTCTGATAAACTTTCAGATGATAAAACTGAACTAGGTTAAAAATTACAGAACTCTAATGGAGAAACTGATGACTTCATGAAACTGCTAATGGAAGATCAAGATCAAGAGTTGATTGCATGGGAATTAATGAACTGATGAGGATGATTATAATTTTTATGACTTTTCTTTTGAGATAGGCTGATTTATAAAAATGTTTTGGGGGTCGGCCCCATGGCTGAGTGGTTAAGTTCGCACGCTCTGCTGTGGTGGCCCAGGGTTTCACGGTTCGAATCCTAGGCACGGACATGACACCACTTGTCAGGCCACATTGAGGTGGCATCCCACATGCCACAGCTAGAAGGACCTACAACTAAAAATATACGGCTATGTACAGGGGGTTTGGGGAGATAAAGCAGAAAAAAAAAAGATTGGCAACAGTTGTTAACTCAGGTGCAATCTTTAAAAAAAAAAGTTTTGTCTTTTCAGATTTCAGGAAACCTTTTTCTCTTTTCTCTCAAGCTAACTATGACTTATAGCAATTTGGTAAATTATACTTTTGTAAGCAGATTTGAAATATTTATATTTTTCTCCCTACCTGATCCTTCCAGAATTTGAAAACTCTTAGTGAGTGATCATTGTATTTTCATGGCACTATAGTTATTTACATAAGTTCAATAAGAATCTGTTAACCTTCTAACAGGACAAAATTGGAAATATTGATTATATTACCGAACATTGATTATATTACTTTGACTGGAATGTCATATTTGAGAAAAATATATAGACTCAGATATGACCTGACAGCTTTTGAAAAACAAAGATTGGACTTCATGAAATAAAGCCACTTGAAAATATTGGCCTGGTACCTGACTTACAGGTTTCCCAGCAACCTTACCAGGTGAGTAAAGCAGGTCACTTCTCTAGCAGGTGCAAGGAACCTCAAAATACTTTGGGGAACCTCAAAAGAAGAGAAGAAGTCACCCAAATCTATAGGTATTACAGGCCTTGTCTGATGACAAGTCCTTGGCTTAGCCTGGCCTCAAGAGGCCTTTAAAGTTCAATCTGAGATTCCTGATGAAAAGTTCCAGCAAAGCAGATTTAAAAGAGCCTATATGATCAATGGCTATTCTTGCTGTATTAAAGTAAATAATTGGGCCAAGTTTACTGAAACTAGACTTACTTTACAAAGCAATTAGTCTTAATTTGGCTATATTTGGTAAAAATGAGGGTGATTTTAGAGAGAAAAATTATATTTCAGTAGAAACCATAGTACACATGTATACATATTAGATTCCAATTCTGTTAGTTGTCTTTGAGGTTTTGTTTCCTACCTGTAAACTGGACTGGATCCTGAATTCTTCTAGTCTCCTGAAATATCTGGCTACAAACTAACATTTTCAATTTTTTCCATCATTTTCATTTGAAATCATTAAGGACTGAAACCACGCCTGCTCCTGAAGCCTTGCAGACTGAAGCTGGATAACTTGATATAAACTTAAGCGAGATCACCACGATAGCATGCCTGTTGCTGAGTAAGCCACTCAAAAGGGCACCTGAACATCTGATGACATCATCAGAGACATTTCAAACTACAAAAGATGCTTTGACCCTAACATCTAGAAATCTTCTTCACTGGCTGTCCCCTGGACTCAGAAACTGGTTTATAATTTGCTCTAACCATTAACCTTGTTTTTCTTTTTATTCCTATAAAAATGTTTCTTATTAAATACCTGATTGCTTGCTTACACAATACAGGCCTAACTACAGGCAGGTAGGTGGGAGCCTACCTGCATCACCACCTCCTGAAATAAATTTAATTGCACTGATCTATTATCAGGACTAAGAAATGTGTTCAGTGAGATGAAACAATCTACCAACTCACCTTTGGACTATGAAACTTCTTAAAGTTTCAAAGGCAGAACTGGGGGGTGGGGAGGGGTCAGAATTGGCCACCCCAAAATGTGTCTCTTTGGTTAAGGACAAGAGACTCTTAAAGAAACTTTGACCTTCCCCCTAACTGCCTAAAAGAATTTAAGATAGAATGCTTGTCCCCAGGACAGGCCATCACCATAAATAACTCTGGCTATCGATAGACTGTGAGGGTCCTTGCTAAGCCCACTCTTATCAAAATTCTGTCTACCAAACATTTACTTTTCCATTTC